TTTCGATGGCATTGGCGGTCGGGTCGGGTCTAAGGAGAAGGACTCACCGCGGCGACTCTGCCGGCAGCAGAGACGGCGCCCACGGCACGCGTGGACTGTCGGAGAGCGTTCCGGAACATATTAAGGGGGTATGTGAGGATACAGATAAAAGAGGAGCAATTGCAGCAAGGTGCAATTGGGAGAGGGGAGATTGGAGGTCGCGGTGCTGCCTTTTGCAGGAGAGCAAATGGAGATTTTCGGGAGGACAAGTGATGGAGAGCAGAGTCTGTGAGGGAGTAGGTGGAGCACAGTTGGCTGGGCCAACCAATAAAAGGCTGGTGCGCGGTTTTGCCTGTAAATTCCGAGGTTGCCTTAACAATGTCCACCTTCCGGGTTCGAGCCTCAGGTATCAGCCACCAGCGGTGCCTGGCAACCTGGCTTCAATGTTCCTTGTGACTGGTGCGGCTCGGCTGCGGTTCGGGTTGGATAGGCCAGCCGCCAGACAGTGGTCTTCAAACTGGTATTGAACCAGATCTGGTCAATCAATTGATACCTACTTAAGTACCTTACCTAGCTAGGTCCCAGCTAGCCATCGCGCATAGGTAACTTAAATATATTCATCCACAGGCTGTCAATAGCTGAGCTGAGAGCGCCGTGGTATCGAGAATAAGAGGAGGTAGAGGTTCTTCCTCAACAGCCGCTTTCGTTGCTCCAGCTCGGAATAATGCCAGGCACATGCCTGCGTCTGGGAGGCTTGACCAGCGACAATGGCAGAAGAATATAACACTTTTTGCCTCCCACTGCATATTGGGAATCCAAGGTGACGAGCCCATCATACCATCATTCACGTCATTACAACACCCATCCATCACGCCGCGGCGCCAGCATTGATGCTAGCCTGAATCTCCTTCTGGTAATGCCTTATAAACGACGTTACCGCCATAATCGCAAACACATTGCCCAGCTCGCCCGTGGCGCCACTGTTTGTAAATTTAAAAGCTGCTCCCTTGTTCACAGTCCATCTGAGCTTTGTCCAGCTCCATACGGCCACAACCTCATCGCCATGATTCAGGCGGACCAGCTTCCATCCACGAGACATTTCACCAAGCTCCTTGACCTCTTCGGTCTTGCTGCTTCGCCATTCAAATTTCTCGGGATACCCACTCTCACCCACTGCCACGGCAAAGGTATAAGCAAAGTTCATGCCGTTGCGGCGACACCGAATTTCTTCCTTGATGAGCCCCTGACCGGGCTCCTTGGGCGGTAGTCGGACTTCATCAAACGTCCCCATTTTGTTCCCATACTTGACCGCAGCCAGCGGCTCCGAGTCGGTGTCCGGGCCGTTGTACAATATCAAGTCGCCGTACCATCCTCCTGGAAGAGATATAATGTTGGAGGGTTCGTTCTTGTGCTCGCCAATGACGAATTTCAATCCGTGGCGCATGGACTCGTAGTAGAGGTTGAAGGACTTGTTGAAGTTGGTCTTGCCCAACGACGAGGTGAGCAACCGACCCTCAATTTGCTTGGATTCGGCAGAGCCCATTGTGATGTGTATATCCGCGAGCTATTTGGACCTCGAATATGTAATGTGCTTGACACTTGATGAGATGGACGCAAAAGAGCAGGTGGTCAGAGTTAGATTTCCGAGTGCTGCAACAGTGTTGCGTCGTAGATGAAGACATGTCAGACAGGGCCACTGATGGCAAGAGGAACCCACAGTCTTTATGTCCAACGCCAGGTCGACGTCCATGAGCTCATCGATGATGATCAAATCTCACTATTCATCAGATTGCCCTGCGCCATGGCTTATGGGAGTAGTATTGGACCAGTGTGAGCATTTGGCTCAGCCCCTTCTCCACCCAGCGCCGTGGACTTCCGTTTTGGGCCAACTGAAGACAATCGTAACATTGTAAGCTGTGAGGATAATCATATTACTGCCAAGCCACCATGGCTTACAAGTACATGACTTGATGAGCCCATGGAACAAGTACGATACAGGGTGTGGCATGCACAGCTTACTTATCTTGGCAGAAGCAGTGCTGGTAGCAATGCTGGTACACCAGTCTGGAGGCACGCGAATAGCAAGGAAATTCTTCATTATGGAGGTGAGACGTCACGTTCCGAGACAGGTCATTATAGAAGCCGGCATGGGCGCCGGTCGGTCTCTAGGGCCGTAAGCTCGACTCTATTCGTCGAGCAGATGCAACAAAGACAACAGCAAATACATTGACCGCACCGTCCCTTTTTGTTTCCCTGAAACGTTCGCCATGACATCCATAAAGACAAAATACCCTCATGCTCCAGCGTCCCAGAATTTATCGGACAATACCGTCGAATCTCTGCTTGAACCACTTGACAGTCTCCTCGCGCTTGATGCGGTGGCTGGCGCCAATTCTGCTCTTCATGCGGCGGCGGCGAGTGACACGCTCACCGGGGCGGGTCATGCAGCAGTAAAAGTCCATACCATAGATACCGATGGAAGGGTCGTACTTGATGCCGAGATCGATGTGCTCGCTGATACCGAAGCCGAAGTTGCCAGTCTCGGAGAAGTTGCGCTTTCGCAGCTCGTACTCCTTGACCTTAAGGCCACGCTCGAGAATTTCCTCAGCCTGTCATTTCATGTTAGATGGCTCAAGTGACTTGGCGCCTCGGTGCTAAATGCGAAAATTGTTTACCTTGGGGCCACGGACGGTGACGTGGACAGCAATCTTTTCGTTACGTCGGATACCAAAAGTACGGACGGTATAACGAGCCTTGCCTGTGGTAAAAACCCGTTAGGCGACGCAAGATTCAATTTCAAGATTAGTTGGCTGCGAGGTGATTTTTACATACTGTAGACTGGGGTCTGACCAGACAACTGCTCAAGCACCTTGGCGGCACGGGTCAGTCTGTCACCAGACTCGCCGACGGAGATGTTCAGAACGAGCTTCTGAATCTTGAGCTCCCGCATGGGGTTGTTAGCCTTCTCGGACGCCATTGTTGCGGTTGTTGTCGACGGGTATCGTTGCTTCGTCAAAGTTCGTGAGATGGCGGATGGGCGGGTCACGAATTTTTGTGAGTGCCAGGAAATTTCGAGGGTTTGGCTGCCCTCAAGCGAGGCGACTGTAAAAAGTGGGGGTCTATCTCCTAAATATAGTTTAGCGCAAAACGGTACATTGGGCTTGTACCCCGTCCTGGTCTTGCAGCCTTCTCTGGTGAGGCTCCGCAAAATTTGGAGGTCCAACACCATTCTCACCTCCCAGCACACGCCAGGCAGTGAGTTGCAGTCATCGCGGTCGCGTAAGAGCTCCGCGGACGGCTTCCAATTTTTTGAAACACTGAGAAGCTGTATTCGCAAGCTCTCAATCAACCGTCAAGATGTCGAACAAACAAGGAAAGATGGTATGCTCCCCTCCGTCAAACGACCCCTTCTACCGCTACCAGTCGATGTGGTCATCATACTAACAGTTGGATATCGAATTAGGCCGGTTACGTATGCGTCCCTCTCTTGATGCCCCTGATGTCAACTTCTACTCAGGATCTACTCAACGACCAAATAGTGCTAACTTGCCATGTCTAGATCAACTGGCGAATGCGCGTCATTCTCAACGACGGCCGTGCCATGACCGGCCAGATGCTTGCATTTGACAAGGTTTGCGAAGCTCATTCGACGTTTTACAGCAAAAGAAAGCCATTGGTCTAATATTTCGATAGCACATGAACCTAGTCCTCGCCGATACCGAAGAATTCCGACGCGTAAAGAGAAAGGCCAGCAAGCCGTCCGCACCCGGGTCATCATCCCAGGTTGTCGAGACTGAAGAAAAGAGGACTCTTGGTCTCACCATTGTTCGCGGCGCCCACATCGTCTCCCTTTCCGTCGAGTCTCCTCCCCCGGCCGATCCCAGTGCTAGACTTGGGAAGAGTGCTCCCGGCGGTATTCCATCAACCCTCACAGCTGGACCTGGAGTCGCCAAACCCGCTGGACGTGGTGCCCCCCCTCCATCCTTGGCTGTAAGAATTTCCCAACTGCCGCTGTATTTCCAGGTATACTAATTATTCTTTCTTCATAGGGTCCCGCCGCTGGAGTTGGTGGCGGCGCTCCGCCTCCAGGCTTCCCCGGTTTCCCAGGAGCTCCTGGCTTTCCTGGTGCCGGACGAGGTGGTAAGTTCAATCACGCCGATCAAAGACGTCAACGACGGACTAACTGGCCTCAAGCTCCTCCCCCAGGCTTCCCTGGAGGTTTCCCTCCCCCTCCTGGAGGATTCCCCGGAAATGCACAGTTCCCTCCCCCAGGGTTTAACCCACCGGGCGGTGGCCCTCCTGGATTCAACCCACCCCCACGACGATAGAAGAACGTTCTTGGCGCTTGACGGTTTGGGATTTTATCACTTTTCAAAACAAATTACAACGCTTTCGTCTATGGCGAAGATACGGCTATGGTGTAGATCAGGAAAGCCTGCGGTTGCAGGAATATGACAAGTTTTTTTTTTTTTTTTGAAATGAGGATCGTACGATATCAAAAATGTATGTGACATCTCATGGCATCATTGGATTTCTTGACGTCTCTGTTGACACCGTGAATTAAGAATACCTGGTCAAAAAAGAATGGCCTTGAATAATCACCATGTAATCTGTGGCCGTGTCAGGCTGATGAGCGAGTTATGCGATGTACGGGCTGCTCAGCACCAGGCATGTCATTCTCCATGTCCAACGTTAATGAATACTCGGCTGAAGCAAGCCTCATAATTCTGTTCCAAATAGGCCTGAGCAAACACCTCTTCTAGTGTATGATCCTTGGTGAAAAATTACGTGATATAATTATTGAGGTGCTACGTACATTGTATTGCCATACAGCAGGTGTATCATTAACGCCCCAATCCGCCGCTATCAAGACCCTTCCAAATCCCAACAACCCGTCGCTTCCGTACAGAGAACTTATATCCCAGCAACATGGCTAAATACCCTCGTAGCAAGCTGGCCAAGCAGCCTCGCCCTGTCGTCCTGCGGAAGCGCCTAAACCAACAAGGATCAGTCAGCACGTCTCACCGTCCAAGCAGGCCCTGGAATGCCGTCAAGTGCAAGAGCAAGCTTACCGAATACACCTCATAGACACTCTTCCCCTTGGCGTCCCTCACCGCCCCAAGCCTGTTCCCCGCCACCGCACCGGCCAACATGCCCGGGAAGTTGGCGATGATGAAGCCCAACGCACCGCCGCTCAGGCCCCCAACCAGACTCCAGAACTTGCTCGTCGGCGCGTTCGACCCGTCCTCCGCCATGCCCTCCTCGCGCATCATCTCCTCGAAGACGTCGCTGAACTGGGCATCTTCGGTCCGCTCCCGCTCGGCGTTGTCGGCGGCCCCGGCGGCACGACTGTTGAAGAAGTTCCACGCCCACGAGTACGCGCCCTGGGCGGCGGCGCCCGGCTGCTGTGGAATCTCCTCGTCGGCCTCCTCGAAGGGGTCCGCCTCCGGGGCCGAGGGGCCGAAGAGCCTTCGCTGGGCGTCGTAGTCTCTGCGGCGGGTGGCGTCGGAGAGGGTGTAGTAGGCGTCGTTGACGAGTTGGAACTTGCGGGTGCGGGCGTCGCGCTCCGGGGAGTCGGCTGGGACGCGGTCCGGGTGAGTTTTCAACGCGGCGCTGAGGAGGAGCAGATTGTTAGTCGGGGTGTCGTTGCTTTTTGCAAAGCGATTCGGGTCGTGGGGGGGGGGGGGGGGGGGGGGGGGG